CCGAGCGGGCGCCCGCGGGGGTGGCAGCATCAAACCTGCGCCACTCTCCACTGGCCAGCTTGAGGTGCTTGAACGCATGGTGCACGTGCCTCGCTGCGAGACCTTCTGCACCCAGGAACTGTATGACGAAACGGCGGCCTGGACTCTCACCCTCAATCTTCCACTGCTCGTCCGTGAAGCCGCCCTCAGACAGCCAGGGGGCCACGCACTCACGAATAGCAGCTGCCGCCACCGGCTCCTTGGTGGTGGCCACGAAGATGGTGTGGTTCGGCTCGCGAGTGAAGGCGACGTTGCTGGTGACATCCAGCTCGGGTGACGCTGCCTTCTCGCACTGGTGGACGATCTCCTGCATCTGCGCGAGCTGAGATCGCATATCACGGTGAGCCTTCTCCAGTGCGTCCTGCCTGGCATCCAGATCACGTAGGTGCAGGCTGGTCTCTTCGTTGATGGTCTCCTGCCTCGCCGCGAATGCGCGGATGGCTGTCGCCGTGCTCTCCGTGATGCCGCGCTGCATGCGATCCGCAGACTCCTTGACCGAGGCAGAGACCGTACTGATGATGTTTGACTGAAGGGCGGCCAGTATGTCATCCAAGTCGCCGTGGAGGACGGGAGCGTTCCTGTCCTTGGGGCTGCGCGGGGAGTCGATGGCGATGACAGGCGGTGTCCCAGCGGCAGCGGCCTGTGCACGCCCAGCAGCGCCTCCACGCCCGCCGCCTCCGCCCTCAGCAGACCAGGGGTCAGCGCGCTGCAGTGGATCGTCCGTCTCCATACTGCCAGCAGGACCAGCGCGGGCAGCAGCACGAGCAGCCATCGGTGAGCCCTGGCTCCTGCTCCGCACATCATCCTCGTGGCGGGCTGAGCTGACCCGGCTGCGCGGCGACTGACGCCCATCGCCACTCGCACGTGCACGCCCTGAGCGTCTCGGAGCACCAGCGTCCGCGCCATCAGGCATACGAGAGACAGGGACGTGCCGAGTGGGAAACGTGATGGCCTCTGCTGGGGCGGACCAGCAAGGCACGTGAGTGTGGGCGCCACTCAGAGCAGTAGCCCAGAACGCAACACAGTTGAGTTGGTTGAGAGATTTGGCGCAAGGGGAGATCCCTCGCGCTTGATCGCCCCGGGAGACTCGCGGTCGTCGGGAATCTCATCGCCTTGAGCCAAAATGGCTACGGATATGTATGTATGTATGTATGTATGTATGTATGTATGTATGTATGTATGCACGTATGCACGTATGTACGTATGTACGTATGTACGTATGTACGTATGTACGTACGTATGTACGTATGCACGTATGCGCGTATGTACGTACGTACGTACGTATGTAGGCATGTATGTATGCATGTATGTATGTGTGTACGCATTTATGTATGTGCCAGGGTGTATGTGTATGTGTCGTGCTGCGCCCGCATGAATGTATGCATGCATGCATGCATGCATGCGTACGTGCGTGCGCGCGTGCGTGCGTGCATGAGTGTATGTATGTATGCCTGCATGTATGTATGTATGTATGTATGTCTGTTTGTATGTGAGTATGTCTGTCGGCCTGTCTGTCTGTCTGTCTGTCTGTCTGTCTGTCTGTCTGTCTGTCTGTCTGTCTGTATGTACGTATGTACGTGCATGCATGCATGTATGGATGGACGTATGTATGCAGACATGTACGTATACACACACTTATGCATAGGCAAATGTATGCACGTATATTGGTCTATGGATCGAACTTGTTGCTTCTGTGCAGTAGACTGCTGACGGCTGAGGCAAACGAACACGCGCCAGTAAGGTTCATGGACCCACACATACGTCGGGGGTCGACCGCTGCCGCTCGCGCTCGTAACGCCCGATCGCGGCGAAGAGCCGCCTGGTGGCCGAGAGGCAGGCGTGCGCCAGCCGGGGTCGACGAGCACGACACGGCTCCTCGCTGGGAGCAGCTCTCCTCTCGGCGGGTGCCTGGGTCACCTCGCTTCGCTGACCGCGTCCCGCGAGGCGCGGCCCGCGGGATCTCGTCGCGCCCTCGCGCCGCCGCCCTTGGAGAAGGGCGCCACTTCAATCCACGCCAGCGGCGCGCGGAGCGCGATGATCTCGATCTTCGCGCCCCCGGGGGTGGCCTAGTCGCATGTCGGGCGTGTCCCCCCTACAGGGGGATTTTCGACGAAAAATGAAGCACACCCCAAAAGTACACCAACAAGGTCACACCATACCCAACAAATAGCCCCCATACTACTTTTCGACCATGGTTTGACGATTCTTGGGGTATTTTTGATGTGTCATCGAAAATCTCCCTGTGGGGGGACAGGCCCGACTTAAGCCTAGCTCTCGCCCGACTTAAGCCTAGTGAGCCAACGCGCCCGCCTCGAGAAAGCACCGTCGGAACCTCTCCGAGGCTGCCGCCTCGCCCGCGCCCCCGGCAGGCCCGGGCCGGCCTCGTCCCGCGGCACTGGGGGTCGGCTCGCCCCGGACGCGCGCCAGGAGCTGTCGCGCGAAGCACGGGCTCTGTAGGCGGCGGATATGAGGGGGAAAACAAACCTACCTCGCTTTTGACCACCCTCGCTTCTGAGAGATACCAAACGATGCCAAACTACGGCCTGTACTGGTCAGGTCGCTTGACGAGGAGGCGCGTGGTATGAGTTGGTTTTGCCTGGAAAACGAAAGCGGGGTAGGTAATTCACGCTCTGAGATATGGGCGGCATGAGCCGTGAAAGCCGTTCCTGTACCCCGCAGGGGAGCTTGATCCCTGCCTGCAGAGCTTATCGGGCAGGTCGTCGCAGTGGTAGAGCCAGAGCGTCCAGGAGAGCTGCAGGCCTCCAGCCTCGTGCATGCAGAGCACGGCGCTCATCCGAGCAGACCTCTTGGCTTGCAAAGACAGCGGCAGCGTCGAAGTCCGTGCACCGCTCCTCGAAGGCTGCGGCAGTGTCGGTTCCGACCCTGCCGCACAGCGCGTGGCCCTGAAATCACAAGCGCTCGGAAAGACCCCTCAGGGCCTCCATCAGAAACCGCCCCGCCCGAAGCGGCCCAGCCCGCAGGAAACCACACAGTGTTGCCTCCTGGTACCAGCGTGGGTCAACCACGAAGAGGTGGAGCACCGCGAGGCCTACACCAGCGCCGATGCTGCATTCACCAGGTCCGCCCAAGAGGGGGGCTTGCAAGAAGGGGGAGGTGCGCATGCTGGCCCGAGGCGTGTACGCGGACGAGGGGGGGGGGGGGGGGCCGGGAGTGACATCGGAAGCGGAGGAGGGAGCCACGATACCCCGGGAATATATCATGGCCCTTGCCGCGATACCCACACACAAGCACGCGCGCACGCACGCACGCACATACACACACATACACACACACACACACACACGCACGCACGCACGCACGCACGCACGCACGCACGCACGCACGCACGCACGCACGCACGCACGCACGCACGCACGCACGCACGCACGCACGCAGCACCACACACACACACACACACACACACACACCACACACACACACCACACACCACACACACACACACACACACACACACACACACACACACACACACACACACACACACACACACACACACACACACCACACACACACACACACACACACACACACACACACATCAACACACACACACACACACACACACACACACACACACACCACACACACACACACACACACACACGCACACACACACACATCCACACACACACACACACCTCGGTCCTCACCCCCCCTCTTGGAGCCCGCCCCCTGAAACCGCGTGCTCGTCGTGGGCAGCTCTGCCACTGGGGCCCGCCTCCCTGTGGGAAGGGGGCCTGCACGGGTCCATCCTTGGGACGCCTCGGCCGCCGTGCTCTTCCCCTCTGTGTCACGGCGCAGGACGCTCTTAGGGGAGGGCCCCGGCGGCCCCGAGGCGGCAGGGCTCGGCCGAGGCCTCCGCCACCGAGTCTGGCCCCGCCTGCTCTCCCCCCGGAGCGTGTGCAGCCGGGGCGATGACCTGAGGAACCCCAGACAAGGAACGAGGCCCCTTTGTCACGGCGCAGGACGCTCCTGGGGAGGGCCCCAGCGTCCCCGGGGCGGCAGAGCTCGGCCGAGGCCTCCGCCACCAAGTCGGGCCCCGCCTGCTCTCCCCCCGCAGCGTGTACAGCCGGGGCGCTGGCCTAAGGAACCCTAGAGAAGGAACGAGGCCCCATTTTCCTCATAAGCTAAACGTCGATTCCCCTGGGGAAACCTCAGGAGAACCCAGGGCAAGCTGTGAAGCCATCGAGGAGCACCGAGCCCCTCCCCAACGAAAAGGGTTCCTTCTTCAGCGCCCCGGCTGCACACGACGGGCTGGGCCGAGTGGGGAGGGCTGCCCTCCAAGAAGGCAGGGGGGGGGGCCTCCTGGGAGGGCTCGGGGGCTTTCGAGGGCCTCTCGGACGGCAGGAGGGCCGCCAAAAAAAGACACCAACCTTCTTCTTGAAGATGCCTCCTGCTGCGACCAGCGCCCCACCAACATCCGCTCAGATCCGGTTGCCGACCCCTCCAGGAGTCCATCCTAGCCAATTTCTCGAAGTGTGTCCAGCCGTGGCAACGAGGGCCCTGGGAAGGGAAGTCGGAATCATTCCCCCGCTCTTCCGTCCTTGCTCCTTTCGCAACGCGCATGGGCCCCCTCTTGCGCAGGTTTTACGGTACGGCTTGGTTGAGCCAATCCAGGCTGGCTTCTCATGCCAGCGCCTCAGCCTCAAACGCGGACGTGAGACCACACAGCAAGGCTCCTGCACGACGCATCGTGTGGTAGCACTGGCTGCGCCCACCCCCCCACCCCCCTTCCGTCGCCCCTCCTCCCACCTCCCTCGCCCCCCTCGCGCCCCCCATGGTCCCCCCTCCCTCGAAATGCTCTCCTTCCCCCTCTCGCCCCCTCCCCCCCCCTCTGTCGGGTGCTCCGACGAGGGTGGCCATGGGGAGGGGCCAGCGCACCCTCGCTCGAGCCGCGTGCGCCCCCCCGCGGCGGCGCGCGGGACCTCGGCGTAGGCCGCGGCGGCGTGCGGGTCGAAGGTGGCGGCGAGCGCCAGGCCCGCCGGGAACCTCGTGGCAGTCGAGGGGCCCGAGCCTGCGCGCGGCGGGGGGCGAGGCGACGAGACGGGCACCGACGTCGTGCGCCCTCCGCCAGTCAGAAGAGGAACATATACAGTCGGGGCCTTGACCTAAGGAGCCCTAAATAAGGAACGAAGCCCCTTTTTTTCCATGAGTTAAACTTCGATTTCCTATCGAAAACATCAGGAAAACCTGAGGCAAGCTGTGAAACACTTACGGAACGCGGAGCCCCTCCCCAGCCAAAAGGGTTCCTTCTTCAGGGCCCCGACTGTACCGATGCAGCTGCGCAGCCTTCCCTCGTCGCCAGCCAGGGCTGGGCTCGCCTGGCGGCCCTCGTCAGGACGCGCCCCGGAGAGGTCCGTGGAGTGGATGTATGAAGGTCTTCCTGTGTCGTCCGCGAGAGAAGAACGCCAGACCCCAAACCGCCGACCACTTGTGGGTCTCTGGGCGCGTGGGGTTCTCCCCCCCAATACTACTCCCCCCTTGGGCCGCCGAAGCGGGAATTCGACCACCTCCCCCCCTTTCCCTGGACGACCCGAGCACGAACACATCATGGGGTGATAGAGGGCTACTAGACGGGCCAAGAGGGCCCCAAGAGGTCCCCAAGACGGTCCAAAAGGGTCCCGAGTCGCCGAAAGATCGATCCAAAACGTCCAAGATGGCCTCCAGACGGCCCAAGATGCCCCACGCCGCAAGAGGCCTTTAAGAGGCCTCCCAAGAGGGACCCAAAAGGCAAACTGCATTGATGTCCCATGGGTTTTCGAAGGATTTGGGCCGCCTTTTCGGCTTCCCGTTGCTCCACGACGGCCCACGAGGCTTCCAAGATCGCCCCAAGACCGTCCAAGAAGCCTCCAAGAGGGCCCCGAACCAGCCCAAGAGGATTCCAAGACGGCGCATGAGGCCCCAAGACGGCTCCAAGAGGGTGCCAAGACGGGGGACCGGAACGGACATTTTGAGCCCTCGTCTTCGAGAGGGCCCGAAGAGGCCCCGACAACACTCCAAGAGGCCACCAAGAGGCTCCCATGAGGCCCCCAAGAGGCCCCCCGCATAGGCTCCCGAGAGCGCTCCGAAGAGACCCCAAGATCTCCTCTGGCCCCAAGGCACAAGTCGCAGTGATCGATCTCCTCCTAGTTGGTCCCAAGACTTTCCCCGCGGCTCCCAAGGGCGCTCCAAGAAAGACTCAGGAGGTGCCCAGGAGGTCCCAAGCCCAGGAGGCCCCAAGAGGCCCCCAAGAGGCCCACCAAGAGGCCCTCAGAAGGCTCCCAAGAGACCCCCAAAAAGGCCCCAAGAGGCGGGGGAACCCGCAGAGGCCCTGGGAGCCCTCCCCCAGAAGATGGCCCCCCAAACCCCTACCTGGCTCCAATATGTCCTCAAAAAATTCCCAATGAGCTCCATGAGGGCCTGAAGATGATCAAATGAGACCCCCCGAAGGCGCCCGAGAATCTCCAAAGACACCACCCCCAGCTGCACGAGGGAGGCCTCAAACAGAGCCCGGACACCATTACAAACCGTCCCGTTGTCCTTTAATCATCCTGCTGTTACTCCTTCCTCTCACCGTCGTCGTTATCTATTTCATAATTGTCCCCCTTCTCGCTCATCCTCAGAATCCCAAGATGGAAAAGTTACATCGACCATCCACGACGTCACTCCGGGAGCATCTCGCTGCGCGCGCGACGCGCAACATGTTCCAGTGCGCCCTCCCGAGAAGCGCAGGATGAGTCAGCCCCATGCGCGGAGTAACGACTGCGCGGCGGCCATCCCCGACGCACTCGGACACTTGAAGGCATCCCATGCGCGCGGCGGCGTCCTAGAAACAGCCAGCAATCGCCCAGGAAACTCTGCGACGCCCACAAGGCCTCACTTCGTCTGGGGGTCGGCGGAATGACGTAAGCCTCTTGGATACATCAAACTACGGATACATATATATATATGTAAATATATATAGACATATACACATGCATATATACATGTGTGTACAAAAACCAAACATGCGTGTATCGATTCCTCGATACATATCACGATATATGCAACTACAGGTTGGACCGACTGCCCATCTAGCAACATCGCTAACAGTAAACCGGTCAATGCCACTATCTACTGGTTTCACAATACATGCATCGATCCCACTACCAAACTATTTCTAGATAGCGAGATGCACAGATCGCACAATCTGTCGATCGATCTCACGATTGAGTCTCACTATCTATGTCTCTCTTTATAGGTCGGTCAACCGATGGACAACAAATAGACGATTGCGCGACGGCCACAAGCGATCACGTGAGAACCACGGGACAACCACTGGACAAACACTGGACAACCACACGGCATGCGCGGGACAACCACGGGACAATCACAAGAGTACCACGGGACAACCACGAGATAACCACGGGACAACCACGGAACGCCGCTCTAACAATCAGACTGCATAACTATCGGTTTCGCGATGTATCGATCGCACTATAATCCGATCGATTTCACAAGTCATATCTCGATCTCGCTATCTACCAATCGATATCACTATCTAGATATTGACCTTAGATGGAACAATCACGGGATCATCACAAGACAACCACAAGACAATCATGGAACAAACGCGGAACAACCAGCGGAACACCATCCCACCAACCGCGGGACAACGGCGGGACAACCACAGCACAACCACGACCATGGCACAACCACGGGTCAACAATGAATGAACCACGGAACAACCACGGGACAACCGCCGAACAATTGTGGAACAACCTCGGGACCACCACGGGAAAACCGCAGGATAACCGCGGGACAACTACTGGAAACCCGTGGGACAACCCAGGACTCACCGCCGGCAATCATGGCACCCTGCCCTAACAAGAACGGGATCCCTCTCGCCCTCGCGCAGCCTTCCATGCTCGCACGCACGTCACTCACAACACGGACCGAAATCGAGACCCATGTCTTGGGGGATCCGACTCACTTCGGTACGACCCGAAATGTGGTCCCGACAGGTCGTCCCGATGGTTGTCAAGAGAAGATTCTCTCGATGGTTGTCTTGATTGCTGTCCCGACGGTTGTCACGATGGTTGTCCCGATTGCTGTCCCGATGGCCGCACGTCCACTCGTGAGTTGAGCTTTGCGTCCAACGCGCACCAAAGCCGAAGCAAACACCCCCACAGCCTCCGTGTTACCCAAAAATGAAGGGGCCCTGGGACACACAAATACATACACACAAATGAAAAGATTCCCCATATTTCCCAATATTTTCTGGGTTTTTGTCTTCCCGTCCAATTCCTATAGTTTCCCATAGTTTCGGGGGAATCGAGGATTAATTGTGTCTGTGTGTTTTTTCCCCTCCTGAGAAAAGGGCTGTCTAATAGGTACATGGGGGAGCCTCGTCTGCGCCCCCACTCCATGGGAACGGTGGCGCGTCCCAGGCAGCTGCTCGATGGTCCTGGGACCAGGAGATGGCTCCCAGATGCCCAAGATTGAGAAGAACAGGCCGTCTTAGTGGTGTCTGATCTGCCAGATGTCTTGTTGGGCGTTGGCAGAACTGGGTTTAGTGGGACCTGGTTTAATGATGTGTACTGGGGGACGCCCCCCCGCCCTTCTCCACTAACCGAAACTGCCGTCACCCGAAAAAACACCAGCTACGGCAGACCTGGTTTAGTGCTTCTGGCCAATTTAGGGGCTCTGGGGCCCTACCACTAACCGGGCCCGCTTACCTGGGGTCCTGGCTATACCCGATCTTGGTCCCATCAACAGACGAGGAACGGTACAGCGGAAAAACCGTGCCGCCGTCGTGAGCGCCTGCTCCAGTCGGGACGACCGACATGGGTACGGAAAGAATGTGTACAATGCCCAACAGCAGTTCCTGTTCATTTTGAACAGGACTCGCTGTCCACGACGCCGCGGCCTGTGTCTATTTGAAACAGAGGGCCGCCTGCCCAACAGCGGCCGCTGTTGGTTTGGGACAACATTTGTTGTTGGGCATTGTACCCCTTCTTTCCGTACCCATTTCGGGCGTCCAAATCCAGGGCGGCCTGGGGCAGGCGTCCCCGACGGCGAGCACAAGTTTAGATGCCGCACTGGCCGTCGCCGCGCTCCCCTCCTGCGCAGGCCGCGGGGCCTGGAGCCTCGAAGCCCTGGGTCGCGCCGGCGATGCGCAGGGGGGCCGACAGCGCACTCCTGGGCGCGGCTCCGGCCGCGTGCCGAGGGGGGCGATCGACTCGGCTGCACGCAGGAGTGACCCTAGGTAAGAGTGACCTTTGGTGCGCGGCCTTTCGGGGGCCGCGGGGTCGCCAAACACAGGCGAGCAAGACGCCACCAGCGTATCGCGTTCGGCGATCGGGGAACCCCAATGTGCCCGCACCAAAGGTCCCTCCGGCGAAGGGTCACTCTTACGTCCAGTCGATCGACTGCAGGGGGACCTCTGGGGCTGCCGTCCCCGGGCCACCCGGTGGACCCCTCGGCGTCGACGGCGACGGCTCGCAGGGGGATCGACGTCGTCTCAGACGCGCTGGGCGTCCAAGGCAATGCTAGAAGTGGCACGGCGGGCAAGAGAACACAGAACTGAGAGACGTCACATGAGCCTCTTTGCCGTCCGTCTGGCGTCGGACGGACTTGTCTTTCACACTGCTGGGCACCCCAGGTCCCCAACCTGACACCAATAGGGCCAAAGAGCTTGCACTTGCCATCATTGGCAAACCAAGCGACCGCACGCACTGTATAGCAGCCAAGCTACTTCGAAACAGCACGAAGCGTGGCTCCGGATAGTCGGCAATGTGTTTGCGTGTGTGCGTGCGCATCCTCAGAACGCCGAGGTGGCCAAGCATACCGGAGCTTCTGGCTGCCACTCTTCTGACAGCCGATCCCCAGCACCTCGTTCTACCCTCTCACCCCTCCCTCCCCCCCCTCCTCCCTCCCACCGCATCTCCACACCCTGGCGGTGTTCGCAGGGGCCTCTGGCCTTCAGGCGCCACGCTAGTTGACCGAACGACCAGGGGTGGTACAAGGGGGCCCAGGGGGGGTGGGACTTGGACCTCGGGAGAAACCCTCCGGACTCCTGAGGAAAGCAGGCGAATCCTTCAGAAATCTCTGAGACACCTTGAACAACCATTAAGGATCCTCACGGACCCTTCAAGAGTCGGCAGCGAACCTGCAGGAATCCCCAAGAGCCCTTCGGAAATCCGACAGGGATCCTCCAGAATGTTCAGGGATCTTCAAGAAACATTAGAACCCCAAGAAAACGGACGGATCTCGCAGGAATCCCAGCAAACCATCACGAGTCTTCAGGAGCGCTTCAGCAACCAGCAGAACCCGCCTGAATCTTCGAAAATCCGCAATGACTCGTCAGGAATCCGCACGAGACCCCACTGGCCTGGGACAGTCTAATCGCGTCATACCTCCATCCTTGCTCGAATCTCCATCCTCGATCCTGAGACTGCTGCAGACTCGTTTCACTCTGAGAGACACCCCCTCAACGTCTCCACGTGCAGCGCGGGGGGGTGGCTGGGAGACTGCACTCATTGTATCATTCGGACTCACGCAGGTACCAATCCTGAGCGAATGCCCCTCGCTGAACTCCTGGCTCAGGTTCACTGGAAAATTCTCGGTGTGGGGGGGGTCTCAGCGATCTCAGACAGTCCGCCAAGTTCAGCAAGCTGCTAATTCAGTCAACTGCCTGTTGCTGATTTGGCCTTACCGACAGCAATCTTGATGAATCCTCACGAATCTTCGAAGAACTGGCGGGGATTCTCCAGGAATCCTCTGGAATATTCAGGGATCTTTTGGGATGTTCAGGAATACTCCGGGCTCCTCAGGAAGCCGAACGATTATTCAGAAATCTTAGAACTCCTTCCAGAATTCTTCAGAAATCCTCCAGGGAACCCTGCAGGAATCCTTCGGGGATCTTCTGGAATTTTCATGAATCCCCAGGGGCCACCATGAATCCTGCATGCATCCTTCCTGGATCCACCAGGGATCCTTTTTGGAATCCTAAGGCATCTTCAGGATCCTCAGGAACCCGCAGGAATCCGGACCATCCTTCAAGAAACAGTCTAGAACCCTGAGCCATCTTCAGGACTCCCCAGGGATGGTCGGGGTCCGCAATATTCCTTCTGGAATCTCGCCAGGAACCCTCACGGATCCTCCAAGGACCGGCAGAAGGAGTCCGCAGGAACCCCTTTCATGAACCTCCAAGGACCCTCCCGCCCCCTCTCAGTAGGAACCCTCAGGGACCCTTGATGGGCCCTTTAAAACCACCTTGCCCGCATGACCCCCCTCATGAACCTACTATGAATGTCTAGGAACCCCCAAGAACACCCTTTGGACCGAGACGCACATCCATGGCCTCGCGACCTCTCAGTGGGGGGGCTATCAGGCCCGCCTTTACATGGTCAGTCAAACTCGGGCAGACTGTAGCGGTTCAGCACCGCCTTCAGCTGGGCGTAGAGGAGGACGGCAGAGGAGGAGGAAGAGGAAGGCTGACGAGTTAGGGCGCCTGAGTGGCGGAGACATGACTCCTCATCCTCCCATTTCTCCCCTTTACAACGCTGAATTATCATTATCCCGCCCTTTGTTCTTGCATCTGTTTCGGCTGTCGTGACGGGCTCCTCACCACCAAAACTATCACCCCTACTGGACCGACAGCATTAGTTAGCACCTGTATTCGCAAATTTCCAGTCTCTCCTCACCAGGGCGGGGGCGCGTTTCTCTTTAGAATGGCAATGTCGCTTGAGGCGTCCATTGCTCAGGACTTGGGTGAGAAAGGGGGGGGGCGGAGGAGAAAGGCAGACGAGAAACAGAGGACGGAACGGACAAGGGAAGGGCAGGAATTTCGAGGACGGCAGACGAGGATGACAGGACAAGGAGGAGAAGAGGAAACATAAGGCAGACGTGGATGAGAGGAAGGGGAAGGCCGCCCCCCCCTGACACATAATTCTCCTACGCCCCCTTTGTTCCTCGGATATCCTGACGGGCTCCCCACCCCCAGGCATGTCGCCTCCATTGCACCGACAGCGTTACATAGCACCCATATTCCGAACCTCGCATTCCCATTCTCACCAGGTGGAGGGGCGTTTCTCTTTCAGAATGGTAGTCTCGCTTGAGGCGGCCTTCGCTTAGGGCTTCGGTGATACGGGAAGAAGTTCAACCTCGGCGTCGGCCTGAATTATCTGATTTGCACCGCGAGTATGGCTTCGTGTAACTAGACTGCACAACAAAATGCCCCGAAGGCGAGGCCCTCGATGGAGCGCCCCAAGCTCGGCGCCCCCGAGAAACTGGCCAAACGGCCGTCGCGATCGCTCCAGGTGCGCGCGGATGGAGGCCTCCTAAATGGGTCGGAGCAGGTGGGGTCGGAGGCTCGCGCCGCATCGCCGGCGATGCACCGGCGATGCATCGTCGACGTCGGCGACGTCGACGTGACGCAGATCGGGCTCCGCATCCAGTCGCACCTACCCCGACCCCATCCATAGGGGGCATGCAGCGGGGGCCCCGGCGGGCGCCGCGGTCTCCTGAGCGTCTCCGCGTCGTCCTCGCCCTGCTCGGGGACCCTCGTCTCCACCTCGCGCCCGGGGCGCCGGGGGGGCGCTGCGGCCCGGCGGCGTCGGCGACGGAGAGGCTCGGGCGCCGGATCGCGCCGCAGCGCCGAGGCATCGCGCGCAGTGTCGCCGCAGAGGAATGGGGGCGAGCAGGAAGGGGGGCCAGCGCACCACGGCCCGAGGCGCGCGCGTGGACGAGCGAGGGACGCAGGGGGGCGCAGGGGAGAGAGGAAGACCCGGCAAGGACATCTCTGGGAGATGTCGTGGCCCGGCCACGACATCCACACACCCTTGCTCACCCCCCTCTTCGATAGGGGGCCACGTGCGAACCCTACCCCTCCCCCTCAGAAATCGTGGGGGGTAGGGCTAGGGTTCACATGTGGCCCCCTCTTCGACGCCCCCAACCCATCTTGATCCACCAGAGCATCGACAGGTGTATGTATGCCCAAAGCGACCCAGACAAACGGCACTGTAGGCGCTCAGGCGATTGGCCCTGGCCGTGTGTGTAACGGAATCGCATGCCAAAAAGCGAGAGGACGAAAGGACGCCCCTGGCCCATCTGCTCTGGCCCAGCCCGGAAGGCCCAGAAGAGGAGGAGGGGCCAGGAAGGGACCCTCTTTGGCCCCTCATTTCCGGCAGTTTTGTTCTTTGGCCCCTCCCTGGACGTCGTCCTGCTCCGGCCCCTCATCTCGTGGGCGGTCTTGTTTTCGTCTGCCGAGGAGGTGCCCTGAAGAGGAGGAGGAGGAGGAGGAGGAGGAGGAGGACAAGTGTAAAAACAAGAGTCATCAACGATGTTGGAATTAACCCTCCCTCCAAGCTTCCTCCTCCTAGGCCCCCACAACGGTTCATTTCTATTGAGGGAACTGCCTCGTTGGAAGACAACCGTTTTAAGATCCTGAAGCATGCCAAAACATTGGTCTCGGGATTTCAACGCCACGTATCAACCTGACTGCTCCGTCTTGACGATCCGGAATCGTGCCAGAGCGCCATTTTTGGGACTTCGACACCGCGAATCAACATAACTGTTGCACCCGCATAGTCCTGAATACTTCCAAAACGCAATCCTTGGTACGTTGATCATGGGAATCCGTGCAACTGTTGCAAATGTTGAAAACGAATGTGCGCGGCGCTAGACGAGAACCACATGTTGAAGAGGAACCGCCCTAAATCCGTGAAACCCTTGCACTTGTTTGCAACGAATGTGCGCGGCGCTAAGGCGAGAACCACATTTTGAAAACGACCCGCCCTCAATCCGTGAAACTCTTGCAATTCCCCAAGCAGTGCTTGCACTGAAGATGTCCTCGCGGAAGCGCGGAAGTTGAAAGATTTGGCGAAAGTGTCCCGCCGATTTTGGTCGCACGCTGGGTTCCCGCGTTGCCGGTTCCGGGTTCCCGGGTTCCTGGTTCCAGGTTCCGGGCCGATTTCGGAGGGCGGCGGGGTTCCCGGGTTCCCGGGTTCCTGGTCGATCTTCGTATCGATCGGTCTCACCATTGATCTCATTACTCACTTTTCTACCGATCTCACCATCGATCTCACAATCGATCTCACGATCGATCTCACAAGCGATCTTACTAGAGATCGCATGAACGATCTCGCGATCGATCTCACTATCGATCTCATTGAATCGATTTCACTCTCGCTCTCACGATCGACCTTACAATCGTCCTCACCATCGATTCCACTATCGATCTCATTATCGATCTGACGAGCAATCTCAATATTCAGAATATCCATTTTCTAATCATCCACTGGTTGGGATGTATCAGGTGCATATTTGTTCTTTCGTTTTTAATGCGCGCGGCGCCAAAGAGAAGGCCACATGTTGAAAACGACCCGCCCTCAATCCGTGAAACTCTTGCAACTTTTGAAAACGAATGTGCGCGGCGCTGAGGCGAGAGCCACACGTTGAAAACCACCCGCCCTCAATCCGTGAATCTCTTGGACATGTTCAAAAAGAATGTGCGCAGCGCCAAGGCGACACCCACATTTTGAAAACAATCCGCCCTCCATCTGTGAAGCTGTTGTCACTTCTTCAGAATTATACATGGTGGGGCAGTCTCAAGTGAAAAACTGGCTTCGGGGTGCGACAGGGACTGGAGGAGGAGGAGGAGGAGGAGGAGGAGGAGGAGGAGGAGGAGAGAGGAGGAGGAGGAGGAGGAGGAGAGGACTGGAGGAGGAGGAGGAGGGGAGGAGGAGGAGGAGGAGGAGGAAGAGGAGAAGAATTAGTGAATTTGTTTTCTCCTTCGGGGGCAGCCCCGACGGTTCATTCAAGCAAGGTCGAGGATGATGATGATGAGGAGGAGGAGCAGGAGGAGGAGGAGGAGGGGCCAGAGGAGGAGGAGGAATGGAGGAGGAGGGGAGGAAGGGGCATCGCCCACAGAGGCCGGCTGGAGCTGCGGAGGGACCCTTCGGGGAGGGGAGCGCCCCGCCCCAGGGCTCCGCTTCCCCGCTGCGGGAAGCAAGCCCCTGGGAGACGACGAGACGACGACGACGACGACGACGTCTCAGTAGGAACGATGGAGAAGTGCGCGAGGCTTAGCTGCCCCGATACGCAACACGCAATACGTATCGTATTGATACGGAGCTCAACACGTAGGCTGAAAACGCGGGTCCGACGCGACACATTCGCCAAAACGTGGTCCGGTACGTGGAGCCAACACGCAACGTATTGACACGGAGGTCTTGAACACGGGACGTGTTGCGTCTCAAAACGGGCGTATCGAGGCAACTAAGGCGCGAGGGAGTGCTTTCAAGTTCGCTTGGCTTGCTCAAAGCGGAGCCCCCCCCCCCCTGCCCGGAACCGCCCCCGCCCCAAACAGTACCCACTCCGCCCTTCAGGAATCGCGCCCCCGTCCTCAGCGCCCCCCCCTCCATAACCGAGGGGGGAACCCCTGGGAAGCGGGGGAGGGGGCCCCATCTTGTTAACGCCTCTGGTGTCCGGGCACACGACGGAGACAACGACTAGGGGACGGAGCCGACGATGCATACGGCGACGACGTAGACAACCTCCGCCAACTACGGCCAGAACGACAACAACGAAGAAGAGGATGGCAACAACGGACAGGGACGACGAAAGACAAACAGAATGAAGAAATCCCACCAGCCCTTTAGGGCGTAGGTGGTCTAGGGAGTTTCCTCTGCCAACCCCCTTCTTCCCCTTCGGGGAGGGGTTTACCCCTCCCCTTACCCCTCCCCACTGACCTGGACGGGGCCGGTCGCGAGGTGTCAGAGCGTCCAAGATGGCCCAAGACAGCTCCAAGAGCGAACAGGCGAGAAAACACAAAACATTGATTTTACCTAGGTTTTGGAAGGATTTTGGCATCTTGGGGGGGCCCAAGAGGCGACTCGAGGCACTCTGGAGGGGCGGGGCTAATAAGCAACCCCCCCTTCTTTGATAGATCTCCTCCAAGATGGCCCAAAGAGCGCCCCGAAGGCTCCCAAGAGCGCCCCAAGAGCGCCTCAAGAGGGCCCCAAGAGACCCCAAGAGGCCCCCAAGAAGCCTCCAAGACGTTGCCAAGAGACCCCCAAGAGGCCCCAAGAGAGTCCAAGATGACCCAAGACGGCTCCAAGAGCGAAAAGGCGAGAAAGCAACAAACATTGATTTTACCTAGGTTTTGGAAGGATTTTGGCCTCTTGGGGCGCCCAAGAGGCGACTCGAGGCACTCTAGAGGGGCAGCGCTAATTGGGGAACCCCCCTTCTTTGATAGATCTCCTCCAAGATGGCCCCAAGAGCGCCCCGAAGGCTCCCAAGAGCGCCCCAAGAGCGCCCCGAGAGCGCCCCAAGAGGCCCCAAGAGGCGCCCAAGAGGCCTCCAAAAGGCTCCCAAGAGACCCCCAAGAGGCCCAAGAGGCTCCCAAGACGGGTCCAAGAGCGAAAAGGCGAGAAAACAAAAAACATTGATTTTACATAGGTTTTGGAAGGATTTTGGCCTCTTGGGGGGGCCCAAGAGGCGACTCGAGGCACTCTAGAGGGGCAGCGCTAATTGGGGACCCCCCCTTCTTTGATAGATCTCCTCCAAGATGGCCCCAAGAGCGCCTCGAAGGCTCCCAAGAGCGCCCCAAGAGCGCCCCAAGAGGGCCCCAAGAGGCCCCAAGAGGCCCCCAAGAGGCCTCCAAGAGGCCCCCAAGAGACCCCCAAGAGGCCACAAGAGGCTCCCCGAGATACGCAAGAGGCCCCCGGGACCGCCAAGAGGCCCCAAGGACGGCCCAAGAGGCCCCCAAGTTCGCAATTGTCCTCCTCCTCCCTCCTCCTCCTCTTTTTCTTCCTCCTCCCTCCTCCCCCTCCCCCTCCTCCTCCTCCTCCTCCTCCTCCTCCTTCTCCTTTTCCTCCTTCTCGTCCTCCTCGTCCTCGCAGTCCTCCATCTCCTCCTCCTTCTATTCCTCCTCCTCCTCCTCCTGCTCCTCCTCCTGCTCCTCCTCTTCCTCCTCCTACTCCGACGACGACGGCTCCTCCTACATCCTCCCCCTCTTGGGGTATATGGCGGCTCACCCCGCCATTTGTTCTTCTGCATGCTCCCCCGCTTCCCTCATAACCTCCACTCCCCTGGGACTCATTTCTGGACGGGCTGGTGGGGATACGCGAAGCGTCTAGAATTGACGATGACCTCGACTGAAGATGGCCGACAACGACGACGACGACGACGACGAGAACGCACGTTGACGACGACTGGCGACAACGACGATTTTGACGTCGACGCCCATTTCGACGAGGAGGACGGACGTTGACGACGACGTCGACGACAAAGACGACGACGAAGACGACGATGACGACGGAGGTCCTGTAGCGGGAGGGTCGGCCGGGTCATTTCAGGTGTGCGGGCTTTCGAGCAATCGGGCTGCAGGATAATCTAATTTAACTGTTGGGACGAGCGGCTGACAGATCAGCGGGCGAGCTGGCTGAGCGTGAACATGACAACAGCATCGCCATCTTAGTTTCTATGATTACGATCATGCTGAAAATCGCCATCAATATCATAATCGTCGACGTTACCATCGTCATCACCATCATTGTAGTTAATATTGGTCATGTTCGTCATCGACGTCACCATCGTGCTCTCAATCATCAGCAACCCCGTGCTACGCATCATCATCACCATCACCATCAACATCCTCAACCCCCCCTCATTGCCATGGTCATGACCACCATATCATCATCACCACTATCATCACTACTACCGTCATCCCAAACCTGTTCCTCATTCCAGGGGAATGGGAGGGCCCGCGGGGGTGGGGTCTGGATTTCGAGGGCTCGTGCATCCACCCCCATGGGGGGACCCTTAGCTTCCGAGAGCCCCAACCTCAGGGGGTCCACCCAAATCTGACCGCGCCCCCCCCCCCCCCCCTGCAAAGAACTATGTATCCCTACTCCGGGGCCATGAAGCCAGACTGAACCAGAAAGGCCCAGCAAACTTCGGATTAGGCCGCGGTAGGATGGTCTCTGGTCGCCGATCTACCAGCGTCGATGCTGAATTGACCCGCCCAGGAATGGCTCCCGAGCTCTCCCGACCCTGCTCCGAACAAGCGGGGGAGGCCTCTAGAAGCAGGCAGGGGAAGAGCGAGGGAGAGGATGATGTTGATATTGTTGTTGTTGATGATGGTGATGCTGATGATGGTGATGCTGATGCTGATGCTGATGATGGTGATGATGCTGATGATGATATTGCTGATGTCGATGTTGATGTTGATGCCGTTGTTGTTGTTGTTGATGATGGTCATGATGATGCTGTAAGGGGGAAATCAGAGCCACTGATAGACGCCACAATGATGAAGACGACCGCCCGGAAGTCAGCGTGTGAAGCAAGGGCCTCGGGCAGCACTGCAGAACGGCTGCCCACAAGTTCGGAGCTGCAAACGCCGTGCAGGGCTTCGCCTCGGGGCTCCCTGGGCCGCACGTCGACTGGGCGCACGAAAACGCGCTCAGGGGGTGGGGTCGAGAGCTGCTCTGGAGACGATGCGGTGCTCCCCGCAGGATGCGACGCAAATGCATTAGCCGCAAAGGCCCGGCTGGAGGAGGAGGAACAGAGGGGGGGTAAGGGGGAAGTTTTGATTATGATAATACAGATAATGAAGGTCTGGGAGGACAAAATCGTGCAACGAACCTTCTCCCTGACCCCGTGAGCGGGGGATTTGCAGCCGGAAGCCGTGTGGGATCGCTCCTTGCTCACGCCCTTCTCCGCACAGCATGCGCTTGGCGACGACACGGCCAACTGGTCGAAGTTGTTTGAATGGGCCCTAGGACACACAAATAAATACACATAAATAAAATGATTCCCACTTTTTTCCGATACTTCCTGGGTTTCTGTCTTCCCCCCCACTTCCCATATTTTCGCATATCGTCTGGGAATCGACGAATCATTGTGTCTGTGAGTGCTTTTCCCCTTCTGATCCTTGCTCACGCCCTTCATTGCACGACATGCGCTCGGCGACGACACGGCTAACTGGTCGGAGTCGTTGGCCGCGGGGTCTTCGGCACGCGGGCCGCACCAGGATCTACTCGTCGTGCTCCCCTCGCAAGCCGGCACCAGAGCAACAAACACCTGCACAAACATGCTTTCTCAGAGGTCCGCGTGGATCTCTTCGATCGGCAAGGGGCCCCCCTCCCTGGCGCGCGGAGCGCGCGGGCGGCGCTGGAGGCGCCACCAGGGGAGCCCAGCGCCGAACCGAGAAATCCGTGCGGAACTCCGGACGTGCATGGTTGCGCAGCTTTTTTCGTCGGGATCTACGGGTCGTGCTCTTCTGGGTAAAACCGGGACACTCTGATCGACTCCAGCGTGCAGGGTGTCTTCGGCCGGTTGTTTCCCCGATCTCAAGGCCTTACCACTGGCCGTCGCTCGGACGTCCATTTCCCGTACATTGTTCGGTCTCGTGCGTGTTTTTTTTTGCTCGTAGTCCAGGATGGTCTTCGATGGTCCTCGCCGAGAAAAAATGCACACGTCCGAGCGATGCCAAAACCAGGCTGGGCAGGGTGCGCCGCCTGAGGGTTCACCAGGCCCAGGTAGCCCCACCGGTCGGCCATGTCGTCGCCGTTCTGGCCGTGGAGCAGCGCGGTCTTGGCCTCGCCGGGGCGCGGAGTGGCCCTGGACACTGCGTCCTCGCTCCCCTCCTCACCCCTAGTCCGTCCCTTCCCTCCCTCACCCCCCCTCGCACTCCTTCTTCGTTCTTCCTTCACCTCGTGCCTCATGCCTACTCCTCCCCGTCTTCCTTTCCATCCTCCTGTGTGTGCCTTATGCGCGCACATCACGCCTAGCATGTGGGCCGACAGATTATCAGCACCCAGGCGTGCCGTCCACTATCGGCAAACGTGAATGGCACGCGCGGGGGTAAGATGGCCAACACGTGCAGCGAATCCAAATAATGCACCCAACATGTCGTAGTTCAATGTCCCCTGCCTCTTGATCTGCCAAGCCGTGCCGCGCCCACAATCAGGGCTCATAATCATTCACAGCCGTCCGCGCAAGACCGTGACCGCAGAAAACACTGGCCCTCTGCGTGGTTCGAGCGGCAGTGCTCGGCTACACGCAGAGAGTGACCCCAGGCAAGAGCAACCTGGGGCGCGCGGAACGAAGGACGGGCCCTTGGGGGAGCACTACCAGACGCGCAAGCCGCTGCTACCACATCGCATTGAGCGATCGAAAGGCCCCATTGGTCCCGCCCCGAGTGTCACTCCGGCGCAAAGTCACTCTCTCGTGCAACCGGGGTGCAGCCAGCGCGCCGCTGCAAGGTCAGCACCGCCACCGCCTGGCAGGGCCACCCCTGCGAACGCGGCCTGCCTCGGCCGCCGTCGCGCCGCCTGGGTGGTCCCTGGAGGGTCCCAATAGAGGTTTCCTAGATGGGGTCCGAATAGATGGGGTCGGAGGATCGTGCCAGATCGCCGATGCATCGGCGATGCGTCGGCGATGCACTGGTGATGCATCCTCGACGTGTGCAGTGCGTAGGCGACGCCGACGTGAAGCAAACTGGGCTCCACATCGAGCAGCTGCATCGCCGATGCATCGGCGATCTGGCGAGGTCCTCCGACCTCATCTACTCCGGCCCCATCTGGGAGGCCTGGATGCGTGGACCCAGGAGGGTCCCGAGACGGTGGCAGACGGCATCGACCAGGGCCCCAAGGATTCCGGGCGGCCTCAGAGAAGTCCCAGGCGGTCCTCCAGGATTGCCCCCGAGAGGCTGTCAGGGCGAGAGGGGGGCGGGCAAGATGGGCGGGAGGAGCGCCCAGGACGCGCCAGGGAGCTCCTCCAGAGACGTGCGGCCAAGAACAGTTCGGTGGCAACTCTCGGGAGCCTCTCGTACCATCATGTCGGGTTTTGCGAATCGGCGATAGTCGACGCTAGTCGACTCTAATCGACGCTCAATCGACGCTACTCGACTCAAGCCGATGCTAATTCGGCGCTATCTCATCGACTCCAAAACGCTAGCCAGTCGACGCTGAAGACGGGATTACGAGGGTATACAAGGTTCCCATGATTCGCTACCGAAGGCAACCGACAACGAAAGCAAGACATCACGCCCTCGCCCGATCTATATCTATATATATATATATATACGTACATACATACATGCATGCATGCATGTATGCATACATACACACATATTATATATGTACAGATAATAGGACCATCGCGCGCTTTTCGCGCGCGATCAAGATCTAGCTAGGATTGATGGGCGAATTCATGGAATATCATGTTTGTCGTTTCTTGCATCAAAGGACTCTCTTGGAGGCCCTGCGCAAACGTCGGAATCGTATAGAGGAGTAGAAGGGGAAATTTGGAAACGCAGAAATCATTCATTCCCTCTGGGTATTCAACGATTTGGGGCCCTCAAAGGCTTCCTGGATTTTTTTTTCCGGGAGGTGAGGGGGGCCTTAATTGTGCTCTGTTGTGCAAGAACAGAAAGGGGGGCGAACTTGAAAAAAATGAATTGTGCGATTCCCTTTTTTTCAAGTTGTCGTGCATGGGCTGTGGGTTAGAGGTTTTCTGGATGCAGACCACGGTCTGCTGGGATGCCTCTCGGGGCTTTCCACTCATAGTTTGAAAAAAATCCAAAGTTCATGTTTCACCTCATGGGATCATGGGATCTCGATTCTACGGTGGTTTCAGGGGCAGCCAAGGAGGACAAAAAAACGATCCAAGAGAGTTCCACGACAGCGTCATGGAGAGTTCAGCAGCATTGCCGAGACATGTTTGCAAATGACTCCGAAGTCTTGATGGGGCTCGGGATGAGCTTGAGCAAAAAGAGAATGACTGGAACTCCATGTTTCGAGTGGGTCCTCACAGGTAGTACGCAGGAATCGGGGGAGGCCTAAGAGGCGTGCAGGGAGCTCTTGGGAGGCAGTTCGGAGGCCTATTGGGGGGCTGCTTGGGCGCCTCTTGGGGCCACTTTTGGGCCTCCAGCGTTGGAAGCTCGCTCGAACACGCGAGAAAACCAAAAATCTCGAACAAACAATGAAAACCAACGATTTGGGTGTCTTCGGGGCGGCAGCCTTCCCCCGACTTCGAATGAATGAAGATGGCTCGAAGGTCGGATTGGGCTGTGTTTGGGGCCTCGTCGGGGCTTCTCTGGGGCCTCTCAGGGGTCTCGGGTGTGTTGGGGGCCTCTGGGGGGTCCTGGAGGCCTCTCGGAGGTCTCTGGAGGCCTCGTGCTCCCGCTCTTGGGCCAATCTTGACCCTGTTCTGGGGTGGTCTGGGGCTGTCCTGGGCGCCTCTTCAACAATCTTGGGGCCTTCTTGGCCCGTGGGCCGTCTTGGGGACCTTTTGGGCGGTCTTGGGGCGGTCTTGGGGGCCTCTTCGGCCGTCTTGGAGCGTTGGAAGCATGAAATGGTGAGAAGACCAAAAACTTCAAACAAAACCATCTGAAAATTAAACATGTTAGGTTCTCCGGGCGCTCTCGGGAGGCTTCTCGGAGCTCTCTTGAGGTCTCTTGGAGGCTTTCTGGAGCCTGTAGAGCCGTCCGAAGGCTAGCTTGGTTGCTTGGGAGTGTCTTGGGCTGTTTTTTTTACGTTCTGGGGGCTTCCTGGGGTCGTCTTGGGCTGTTCTTGGGCGTTTGGGGGGCTTCCTGGGAGGCCGGGAGGCGCGGCACCGGGAGCGTATCGCCAATGTTACGGGGAGGGTTGGTTCCCCGGGGGGGCAGGGGGGCCTCGAGAATTCTCCCATGGAGTCTCCAAGAGAGGCCTAAGATGTCCCCAAAATGGCCCCGAAGATTATGTACCAACCGAGAGCCCTGTGGTACATAATTGCCGTGGCCCTCCTTGGACCTTATTGGGCCGCTATTTGGCCTCCTGCTCCCGCTCTTGGGCCCATCTTGGGCCTGTTCTGGGACGGTCTGGGGCTGTCCTGAGCGCCTCTTCAGCAGTCTTGGGGCCTTCTTGGGCCGGCTTGGGGCCGTCTTGGGGGCCTCTTGGGCGGTCTTGTGGCGGTCTTGAGGGCCTCTTCGGCCGTCTTGGAGCGCTGGAAGCATGAAATGGCGAGCAGGCCAAAAACCTCGAAACAACATGTGAAAAATAACGATTTTGGGTTCTCCGGACGCTCTCGGGAAGTCTCTCGGAGCTCTCTTGAGGTCTCTTGGAGGCTTTCTGGGAGCCTGGAGAGCCGTCCGAAGGCTATCATGGGTTGCTCGGGAGCGTCTTGGGCTGTTCTTTTACGTTCTGGGGGCTTCTTGGGATCGTCTTGGGCTGTCCTTGGGCGTTTTGGGGGTGCCTGGGAGGGCGGGCGGCACGGTACCGGAGGCGTTCCGCAAATGTCACGGAGAGGTGTGGCACCCCGGGGGGGACGTATTTGTTTGGTTTTTGTTTCATGTGTTTATCCACGCGCGCATAGCGGACGTGAGCTCACACTCAAGCCATACGCCGTCCAGCGCGTGGACGGGCAAAATAAGTTCGTCCGGCTCGGGACAACCGAAGCGCTGACTGTAAGCAGTGCTCGGGAGTGAGAGAAGCGCAAGGACAGCAGCGATTCGAGAGCAAGAAGCACGAGCGAAAGCAACGACAAACGGCGCGGATGGCAAGCCTGTGGCCTGTTAGAGCAATGTGCTCACCCACCCACCCTCACCTACACCCACAACCACACCCGCACGCCCACGCGCGCACGCGGCATCTTCAAATCGGCGGCTGGACAGGGAGCGATACCAGCAGTCAAGCGCCCGAGCAAACGAACGCCCCAACGAGGCAGAGGGAGAAACGGATATAGAGAGGGGGACACATACAGAGAGATAGAGAGAGGAAGAGAGAGGGAGAGACACATTGTCTGGCAAGGGGGGCGTCCCTAAGCGTCCCGCCACCCATAGCGAACCCAAGGACAAGGGTCCACGTGTGAAGGCAACGGGAAACACCAGCAACACAGCGCGGACATGGGACCGGTGTTTACCATGTCATGGTCACGGAGGTGCACTCGACAAGGGAGGCACCGAGAATGCACACACACACACAGACAGACACACGCGCACGCATACACATACGTGCACACACTCCCTATCCCTCTCTCTCTCTATCTCTCGCTCTCTATCCCTACCTCCCTCTCTCTCTCCATCATGCACACTCGCACGCCTACTTCAGGCAAACGAGCGCTCCTCACACACGGCGCAGTCAAGGCGGGCGCGGAGGATGGCACCATAATTACGGCCGCTTGGTCTCTGAAGACGGAGCTGCACACGCACACCTGCGCGCAGGCACCGTCCCTCGACGTCGGCGCTGCTCTCGCACGGGCGAGCAGCGAAACGGCGGGGCTTTCGGAGGCCCCTCCGGGGTCCCAAACCTGGCTGGCCTCGGCGCGTCCCCTTGGAACGGCTCATTAACCGCAGCACCTGCAACGTGGACGGCTGAGGTCGGCCGACGTTTCGGTCAATGCCGACATCCTCTGGCGTGGAGGAGGAGGAGGAGGTGAAGGAGGGGGAGGCGTCTTCTTACTCCTTGTGCGTCTCTGCCTCCCCAGCGGATTTCGTTATCTTTGGGGCAGAGGGCAAGGCGGCACCGCGGCGCTACCTGAACATTCCCTCGACCGTAAGGGTGTAGGGTGGAGAAGGAGAAGCCTCCCAGCCTCATCCGCTTTCTGCCCTGCCACCAGACAACGAAGCCTCAGGCCGCAGCTGGTTGAGCAGCCACGTCGCCTTGCCGATGGCCTGGTCCCAGGCCTTGTCGGCGGCGTGGCCTGTTGCGCCGTAGGGGGGGCCATCGCACAGGGGGCTGTGCTGTGAACCCTGCGGCTCTTCGGGGACGCGCGGTTGAGCAGTTCCTATGACTGGCTTCCCGAGCCCGCGCTTGCCTGCCGAGCCTGCCTTCCCCCGCACCACACCCACTACACCAGACACCGTGCCCTACCCTGGCGACGCGCACAGGAGCGTTGCGCGAGGCGGGCGGCATGTTGAGAAGCTGGGGGGCCTGTGGGAAGGCAGGGGCCTCCTCAAAAGGGCATGACGACTTTCTAAGAAGGCTGCTCGGGAGCCGGAAGGGCTTCCAGTAGGTCGGGCTTGTTCCCCTACAGGGGGATTTTCGATGAACAATAAAAGCAATACCCCAAAATACACCAAAAAGGTCAACAACATACCCAACAAATAGTCCCCAGACTATGTTTGCACTATTTTGGGGTTACTTTTTTCCCTACATTCTGAGTGGGGTTTTTGTGTTCCCAGAACATCCTCTCCTTTTCCCTCCCGCCTCCCGCCTCCCATATCAATACCACGCCTACCACTCCAGCCTCCCATATCATACCAGGCCTACCATTCCATATCATACCATAACAGGCCCCGTCTGAGCGAGGAGGGTATAGGAAACCCATACTATTTACATGGTTTCGTGCCCTCCCTCCCCTCCAGGGAGGCCCCGCCTGAGCGAGGGTGGTATCGGAAACCCGTACAATTTACATGGCGTCGTGCCCCTTCCACCCCTCCAGGGAGGCCCCGCCTGAGCGAGGAGGGTCTCGGAAACCCGGATTATTTACATAGTTTCGTGCCCCTGCCCCCCCCTCCAGGGAGGCCCCGCCTGAGCGAGGAGTGTATCGGAAACCTATATTATTTACATGGTTTCGTGCCCCTCCCACCCCTCCAAAGAGGCCCCGCCTGAGCGAGGAGGGTATCGGAAACCCATACTATTTACATGGTTTCGTGCCCTTCCCACCCCTCCAGGGAGGCCCCGCCTGAACGAGGAGGGTATCGGAAACCCATACTAGTTACATGGTTTCGTGCCCCTCCCACCCCTCCAGGGAGGCTCCGCCTGAGCGACGAGGGTATTTGAAACCCATACTATTAACATAGTTTCGTGCCCCTCCCACCTCTCCAGGGAGGCAGGCCCCGCCTGAGCGAGGAGGGTTTCGGAAACCCATACTATCTACATAGTTTCGTGCCCCTCCCTCCCCTCCAGGGAAGCCCCGCCTGAGCGAGGAGGGTATCGGAAACCCATACTAGTTACATGGTTTCGTGCCCCTTCCACCCCTCCAGGGAGGCCATGCCTGAGCGAGGGGGGTATCGGAAACCCATACTATTTACATGGTTTCGTGCTCCTCCCACCCCTCCAGGGAGGCCCCGCCTGAGCGAGGAGGGTTTCGGAAAGCCACACTATGTACATGGTTTCGTGCCCCTCTCATCCCTCCAGGGAGGCCCCGCCTGAGCGAGGGGGGTCTCGGAAACCCATACTATTTACATGGTTTCGTGCCCTTCCCACCTCTCCAGGGAGGCCCCGCCTGAGCGAGGAGTGTATCGGAAACCCATACCATGTACATGGTTTCGTGCCCTCCCCACCCCTCCAAGGAGGCCCCGCCTGAGCGAGGAGGGTATCGGAAACCCATATTATTTACATGGTTTCGTGCCCCTCCCATCCCTCCAGGGAGGCCCCGCCTGAGCGAGGGGGGTATCGGAAACCCATACTATTTACATGGTTTCGTGCCCTTCCCACCTCTCCAGGGAGGCCCCGCCTGAGCGAGGAGTGTATGGGAAACCCATACTATTTACATGGTTTCGTGCCCTTCCCACCTCTCCAGGGAGGCCCCGCCTGAGCGAGGAGGGTATCAAGAAACCGTACTATTTACAAGGCTTCGTTTCCTGAGCACCTGCCCTCCCTCCTCCTTTCTGTCGTCTGCCCTTTCGTGCGCACTTACTCCTTCGATGAGCTTCTCCGTCGTGTTGGTGTTGTCGTACCCCATGGGCCCCACGAAACCGTTAATATCTTTCTGTGGGGAACTCCGTTAGCATAATGGGGTACTTTTTTGTTCGTCGACAATCCCCCTGTAGGGGGACAGGCCCGACTTAATTTTAAGAAGGCTGCTCAGGAGCCGGGAGGGCTTCCAGGAGGCCACCCCATGCCGTCTCAGCAGCCCCACGCCTCTCAGGAAGGCCGCACCCCTTGCGCCAATCCCCATCGGGCGCGCCGACAACTTTCTCCGCCTCCTCCCTGCCCATCACGAGACCGCTCCTCGCCCCCATCCCTTCCAGGACCAGGGAAGTGCCAGCGCGCGGGGGCTACAAGACATCCGGGCACACTCCGGCCCGCGGGACGTCGCGCGGGCGCACGGGGAGCGTCTCAGATGAGGGCCGCGGCGGCGGTGTCGGGCCACCGCTCGTGCGGGCACGCCCGTCTCCGTCGGTGGCGTGGCTTGGACGGTGCTGCCCGCCGCGACGCCCGAAAGGGGGGGGAAACAGGAGGAGGCCAGGATGGATTTCGGGGCACAACTCGTGGGGGGGGGGGGCCGAGGATATCGACCGCGTGGAAAGAGCCCAGGCAGGCGAAGCCCCAGCCAAGGGGATCGAGCAGGGCAGGGCTGCCCGGGAAACGCCCCTTCTCGGGGCTGCAGCGCAGGCGGTCGCCCCTCCGCCGACCCGTGACGCCGAGGCCGCCCCGGCCGGGAGCCGAGACGAAGGCCAGCAAGGGCGCGCGCCGCCGCGCGGCAGAGGCGTCCCTGCGGCGGGGGGGGGGGCACACTTCTGTGAAAACCAGGGCTCCCCACAGAGAGCGGTGACGTAACGAGCTCTGAACACCAAGGCTCCCAAGAGCGAATGGCGCCATGAGCCATCTCGGGCAAATGCCTGAAGCGCTCTTTCCGTTCCCGTGCCGGCCCAGGTGTCGCAGAAAACTTTTCGGGAGTTTCGTAGAGGCGGGCCCAGCACCGAATCGGCACGTCGGCTCGGCGATCGAACGGCATCGGATCGGCGGACCTCGGCCGCCGAGCCCGGAAAGGCCGGATCGTGGGAACTCTGCCGGCCCGTGAGGCCCCATGGAGGAACCGACGCCCAGGTCGGAGTCCGCAGTCGAACCGAATCGGCACCGGAATCGATCGAGGTCGGGTGGGCACCTCCCCGAGGCACGGATGAGCCGTCCCTGCCGGAGCGGCCTGCCCCGCGCGGAGCTCGTGCCTGCGGCAGGCTGGGCCTCCTCTCCGTCGGCCCACCCCAGAGGGTCTTCGCAGGCCGCCGCCAAAAGGAGGGCCAAGGATGCCCAGAGACCTCGACTCCCGGTCGCCGATCCTCATCCATTCGTTGTAGCTTATCAGGGTGAGGGTGCCGAACGGTCATTCACTGTCCCTGGGTGCGTGGCTGACAAAGGAACTCGTGATGACACTTCTGCTTGTTGCGTTGTTGTTGTTGCTGGTGCTGTTGTTGTTGCTGGTATTGTTGTTGTTGTCATTGTTGTTTGTTGTCGTCGTCCCACCCGTGACCCATCCGCGACCCACCCCGCGACCAACCCCGCGACCCACCCCGCGACCCACCTGCGACCCAAGCCGCGACCCACCCGCGGCCCACCTCCTCGACCCGCGGCCCACCTCCGCGACCCGCCCGCGACCCACCCGCGATCCACCCCGCGATCCACCCTCAAGAGAGGAAAAAACACCTGGACCCGACAATTGACGTTTACTAAACAGCCCTGGGCGTTTACTAAACCGCCCTGCCCTGTTCGATTCATTCCTTGTGTGCGTTTACTAAACGGCTTCGCTGGTCGGGGTGATTATTATGGGGTGGACTTTCTGCCCTCTACACCCGCGACCCACCCGCGACCCACCCCGCGACCCAACAACGACCCACCCGCGACCCACCCGCGACACACCTGCGACCCATTTGCCACCCACCCGCGACCCACCCGCGACCTACCCACAATGGTTTAACGAGGGAATCGGCGCTTGCGGCGGGCTCGCTGTATAATTTGTGCAAAATTGGCGCCTGCGGCGGGCTTCTCCACTTTCGCAAACCGCCGACGTCCCCACCGCCCCCTCACTCTTATCAGCATCTGCGGGGTGCTCCATAACATATCACTCCCTCTATCGCACCCCGAGACGTGTCGAAAGGGTGGGCCGGGCGTGTCGCCTGAGACCCTCAGAAATTCTGAAGCTTGAAACTTGCAACGGCGTCACGAGTGGGAGACGGGTTGTTTTCAACATGTGGCTCTCGCCTCAGCGCCGCGCGCATCCGTCATAACAATTTACAGTAACGTCGCGGATCGAGGGCGGGTCGTTTTCAAAGTGTGGCTCTCGCATTAGCGCCGCGAGCATTCGTCTTTTCTTTTAACATGTGGGCAACTGTTTCATGGATGGAAGGCGGTGTCTTTTCAAACGGTAACTCTCGCCTCAGCGCCGCGCGCATTCTTTTTTAGAGTCTTACAACAGTTTCGAGTATTCTCATGGTTAACATACTCAAAACGAATATGGCACGACTGTGAGGTCGCAAGAGTTACGCTGATTGTGTTGAAATCCAAGAAACCGAATTCTAGCGCGATTCAGATTCGCGGCGTTGAAGCCCCAGGAATGTATGCTGGCACAGTTCAAGATTTTCGAAGGTTGTCTGCAAACGAGGCACTTCCCTCCGCGAAGTATGAGCCGGTGTAGGGGCTCATGAAGAGGGAGCTTGGAGGGAGGGTTCATTGCAGTATCGTTGATGAGTCTTGGGTTTGCACTGGTCCTCCTCCTCCTGATCAATCCGTTTGAAGACCATCGTCTTTTTACGGTCCTGGGGATCAACGTGGGCCCCCGGAGGCCGAGAACGGCCCAACGCCGCCCGCCACAATTTTTGTTGGCGCGTCGGCTCTCTGGGACCGATCGGCCGATCCCGTGGCCTGTGCGACTGGCGGGGGCGCGTGGTGCTCAGGGCGGCGGCGTCCCGGGGAGTGGCCGCAGGGCACGAGCGGCAGGCCTCCTACAGGCGGAGTTAGGAAGACGAGCTCAAAGGAGTT